CACGGTGGTCCTGGCACAGGCTGCTCCCGTGCTCCACCAGCCTCCTGAACCAGTGGGAAGGAACAAACCCAGACCCTGCCCAGCTCCCCGGGCAGCGGATGGGGACGCCCCGAGATCCCGACCCGGGTGCAGAAATGCTGATTCTCTCCTTTGCCCGGGCACAGCCGTTCTGCAGGGGCTGCAACCCCCCAGTTGAGCCGCAGAGATGCTGCCGCCCCAGCAGAGCGGCCGGGAGGATGGACACGGCCGGGGCCACCGGGTTCTTTGTCACTCTGGTAACAGCATATAGCATCAGTGTGTAAATGCCACAGAGGTGTTAGAGAATCTGAGTCATGCTCCTGATTGTCCCTTGTAACTTCTCTCTCTTAAATGCCGCGTGAGGGCTGTTTCAAAGACAGCTTGGGAGGCGTCTGTGGGCAGCCTGGGGCTCAAGGAAACACGACACATATGATCTGGCTTCGTAACACCTTCATCTGTCCATGAAGTTGGCTGCACCACCAAACGCACAGCCTTCCTGACTCTACAGCTGGTAGGAACCGAAGGGGCACGGTGTCACCTGAGGGGTTAAACCCCAAACGCAGGGACCAGGCTGGAGGCGGCGGAGGTGGCAGAGACGGGACCGAGCTGCCACCTCGTGGCACCTTCAAACCCTGTTTTCAGCAGAAATCAGAGTCATCAGTAATCTTGCCCTGAGGAGGAGAGCATGAAGTTGTACTTGTTTATGTTCGCAATCAGAAAAAAATAAGGGGATAAGTGGCCCCAGAATGTCCTGGGAACAGAATAACTCCAATGCCTGCACAACTGTGCGTCCTTCAGATAGAAGTGAAATATGAGAACAAGTACAAAATAGGCCTTTAGAAACAAACTGGGAGCTTTCATTTTTCTCTGGTTGTAAGTCATGCAAAATTTTCACTCCCAGGCAAGAGAGAGAGTCGGAGGATCTGAGTGCCCTGCGCAGCTGTCTCAGTGCAACTCACATAAACTGGTAATTACTGGGGAAAGTCCAAGACAAAATAATAAAATTAGGACTTCCAGGATCTTAGGAGATCCACTGAGCTATTCCACCTTGATGAGGTGCTTGCCCAGCCCACTCTTAACAACCTCCAGCCACAGAAATGCAGTGATTCCTTAGGTTCCCTCCTTTGGTCCTTGTGTTTAACTGTTACTGAGCACCTTCTCTTAACGCCTACAGGGTGACTACAGCCCTTCTGGCTGTTTGCTTTCTGCCTTAAAGCGAAGGTGATCCCATCCCTTTCCACTCCCTTGAAGCTTCTTTGTCATAAAAAACATACTGGAGGGACCTTGGGATGTCTCATGAGCCGTTGCTATCTGCACTGGAGGGCAGCCCAGACTGCAGGACGCCTCCGGCAGGCCCTGGGAAAGGCGGCCAAAACCATTATTTCCAGTGGTGCTTCCACATCAGGACAGAGTCCTCCTGCACAGCGTGGGGCCTGCCAGGATCCAGGAGATAACACGGGTGATGGCAGGGCCGTGGCCTGCTGCTGGCAGCAGGGAGGGTCCCTGCGAGAGCATCCTTGCTAGGTGCGCTGGCCTCTGGTTTGCAGCCTGAGCTAAATATTATGCATTTATTATCAGTATGTCTTGTTTCACCCGCGGCAGTGCCCTGCTCTGGCCGGGATGGCTGAAAGCCTTGACTGCAGCAAGGCTTTTGACACGGTCTCCCACAGCATCCTCATAGGTAAGCTTAGGAAGTGTGGGGTAGATGAATGGACAGTTAAGTGGATTGAAAACTGGCTAAAAGGCAGAGCTCAGAGGGTCGTGATTAGGGGCACAGAATCCAGCTGGAGGTCTGTAACGAGTGGTGCTCCCCCGGGGTCAGTACTGGGTCCAGTCCTCTTCAATATATCCATCAATGACCTGGATGAAGGGATGGAAGGTACCCTCAGCAAGTTTGCTGATGACACAAAACTAGGAGGGGTGGCTGACACCCCAGAAGGCAGTGCCGCCATCCAGTGAGACCTGGGCAGGCTGGAGCGGTGACAGCAAAGGGGTCCCCCCGCCATGGCTCCCAGGTTCATGAGGGTACCCGACCACCATTCACCTCTGCGGGGAGACGTGGGGGAATGCCCTTCGGTGCCACAGCAGCCAATAAAAAAGGAAAATAGGGTATTTCTGAGAGCTGGCCAACAGCCCTGCCCGTGCCCCACTGGGCAGCCATTGCTCAGCAGCCCTCTGCTGGCTCCTGGAACCCCCGTGGGTGGGCAGGAGGTGTCCGTGAACCCCCGTGGGTGGGCAGGAGGTGTCCACAGGCAGTTTTGTAACAGGAAGGCTTCCAGGCTACCCCGCTGCTGCTCCGGGAGCCGGGGCTTTGCAGCCCCCTTCCCGAGAGACGCCTCCAAACTGCAAAAGGCTCCTCAACACCCACAGCTGGGCAGCAGCGCCGCGGGCTGGCAGAGCAGCCGGCCGGATGCTCCCTGGACTGTTGGAGCAGCGGGAGAAGCAGGGGAAGAATCCGAACAGGCAAAAGGGGAAGGAGAGAGGAAAAAGGGAAAAAAAGTAGAGCGCGAGGAGGAAAAAAGTCACTTTCCCTGACCAGGAATCGAACCCGGGCCGCGGCGGTGAGAGCGCCGAATCCTAACCACTAGACCACCAGGGATCTGTGTACTCTAATTTCATCTCCTTCGTGAAGGCCGAACTGAAGGGCCCCGCCTCCCGCTGCTCTGCCGCCCGGTTGGCTTCTCCCTCTGAGCTCCCCCCCTCCGGGCGGTGCCACGTCCCGGAGCCAGCGGGCTGTACAGAGGGACGTTC